AGGTCGGCGGTTCAAGCTCACCAGCCGCTCCTTGAAAACCCCATACAGGGTCGCTACGGGTTGGAACCAACTCAATGGCACTTAACAACAACAACAACAATATAAAGGCACGAAGTGGCTGACTTACAAGCTTTCGTGAGGGTTCTTAGTGTCAGAATGTAGGTAAGGCAGAAACCTAACTGGATAATTTCCCTCCTGTCCAGATGAGGAGGATAAGACTTTATGACACAATTGTGAATATTCAGCTCTAATGGCCATCATCACAACTGTAAATGAAGAAGAGGTGCAACTAAAAGGGGGAGCAATTAATCTATCATCTCAGGAGCAGGGGACCCTAGGACCATCAAGAGGGAAGAACATGAGAGGAGCCAGGGATCCTGACCAGACAAGTGGAGACAAAATGGTGATCTGTCCTGTAAGCCTTCACTCACTCAATAAATACACAATAAGAGTTTTTTTTTTTAAAGAATGCCTAAACTAACTTTGGTACATACACACAGTAGAATACTATGCAGCACTGAAGAATAACAGTGAATCTGTAAAAAACCTCACAGCACTTATGAACATGGAAGACGTTACAGTAAGTGAAATTAGTAAATCACAGAGGGACAAATTATGAAACCAATGCTGTCAAAAGTTAACAAAAGGCTTTCTTGATAAAAGAAATATTCTATGATGGTTACTAGGGGGTGGGGTGGGGGAAGGAAAATTATTCACCGGCTAGAGGGTTGTCTGGTAGCATAGTGGTTACGAATCGGGCTGCGAGCCGCAAGGTTAGCAGTTCGAAACTACCAGCTGTTCCGCGGGAGAAAGATGAGGCTTTCTGCTCCCGTAAAGATTATACAGCCTCGGAAAACCTGTACAGGGTCGCTATGAGTCGGAACCGACTCCACCGCACATAACAACAACAACAACAGAGGGTTGTTGTTGTTGTTAAGTGCCATCGAGTCGGTTCCGACCCATAGTGACCCTGTATAGGATTTCCAAGGAGCAGCTGGTGAGCTAGAGTGCAGAAACATGTCAACATGAGCGACAGGGCAGGTAATATATAATCAGAGGGAAGTTGGCAGAGGAAAAATGAAGGTAGTTGGAGACACAGGGAGGAATGCAAGAGTTGAAATGTGTAGAGCTAAATACTATAAATTGATGGTACATGCAGTGGGTTGCAATCATTGCAATGAAGCAAAGTATATGATTTGTTGAATGTAAAACTGATGATCTGTTCTATAAGCCTTCACTTGATTCAAACTAAAAAAGTTTAAAAAAATGAAAGAAGAACCAGGAGGGGAGCATGTTGTTTGGATTGCTGTTCTGAGCCTCCTCCTTTCAGGAGACAGAGAGCTGTGATACAGGAGATGACAAGCCACAGACTATGAGCAGCATAGTCAGAGGCAACAGAACTAGGAGATCTGCAGGAGACTGTACAGTGGGCTTCCTGGCCAACAGGGTGAAGAAAGTTGAGTGCCTTTGGCTTGCTGGCTGAATGGAGTGTCTTTGAGCATTTATGGGTAGAGTTAAAAGAATTTTGTAGCACTTGCTTAAGCACATTGGGGGCCAAACTGAGGGACCAAGTTAGGAAGATAATTTTCTCAAGAATTTCTTTAGCTGGAGAGGTACATACATACAGGGCTGGCTGACAGGCGGCTGGCCTAATTAAAGAACTGTATCTTGAGTGTTTCTGATCCTGAAATGTAACCTATTATCGCCCTAGTGGAGTTTTGGTGTGGTGCTGTAGGATAAGCACTCTACTGAAATGTCAGTTTGAACCACAAGGTCGGTGGCTCAAACCCTCCAGCCACTCCTTGGAAACAGAGTCACTATGGGTTAGACCCAACTTCTTGTTGTTGTTATTGTTATGTGCCGTGGAGTCGGTTCCGACTCATAGTGACCCTGTACAGGGTTTCCGAGGCTGTAAATCTTTATGGGAGCAGAAAGCCTCATCTTTCTCCCGCAGAACAGCTGTTAGTTTTGAACTGCTGACCTTAAGGTTCACAGCCTGATTCATAACCACTATGCAACCAGAGCTCCTTTACTACTTGGCACTTAACAACAACAAATCCTCTAGTAAACTCCTTAACTGTGTGGCAATTGCAACAAATTGTTGAACCCAGCAGAGTAGAGTGCCATAGGAGGGATGGGTGGTGTCAGAATTGATGAAAAGTTAGGAGGTTAGCGGCAGGTCTGCTTTATAAGAATCAGTTTTGGGCTGTAGATGATGATTCTCTCTCTGCTGCTGGAGTAGAGGAGGTTAGACACTGCCTCCAGGTCATTTTTGCAGCACTCTTTCAGCTTCCAGCTTTTAGCTTTACTACTTTACTATGCTTAGCTTGTCTACTGCATGCCTTTGAAATTGCATCCCAAACTAAGACAATCCCTATTCTCAAAGAGTTCACCATTCAATAAATGAGGTGCATTCTCATAAACAAATCACAATAAAGTCTGATATAAATAGTATCAAGTTGCAAAGTACAAGGTATAGCATTAGCCTGAAGGAGCATAAATGTGTACTAAATGACAGAGTAACTGGTGGTAATTTGCGCTTTTTAGAAGGTGGCTTTGAAAAATGCATAGACGTTTACCAGCATGAAAAGAAGGGGAGGGACAATAGGATGCGAAAAGGCCCTGAGATAGGAAACAGTTTTTGTGTTTGGCAACTATAACACTATGTTTTAGAGAACATAGTGGGAGGAGAAGTAAGCTGACACTAGATAATGAAAGTCCCTTGGAGCTCTGGTGCGGTGCTGCAGGATTATGTGCTGGACTGCAAAGTCGGTTTGAACCGCAACATCGGCAGTTCAAACTCACCAGCTGCTTCTCGGAAACCCTATACAGGGTTTCTGTGAGTTGGAACCGACTTGACTGCACTTTAACAACAACAACAACAATTTAGATTTTACTTTTTAGGATATGGAGAATTTGTGAAAAGTTTTCTAACATTAATGCAATTGTTTCAAGTGTACCCTTCCTTACCTTCCTTCCTTAAATGTCTTTGGATCTCTTATTTGAGAACAAAATGCCATATAATCCACAGTATTCTATGAAATCTCTTTCAAAAGCAAATTACCATTTCAAGGAGAATCCCTATCTTTGTAATGGGTAAAGTATAGCTTTTAGATTTGTCTGCTAATGAAATTCTTTTTTTAAATAAAAATTTCTTAACATAGGAACTTGGTTAGAATCTGCTTAATTAAAAAAAACTTTTAAATTGTGAATTAGATGAAGGTTTACAGAGTAAATCAGTTTTACATTCAATAATTCATAACATTTTGCTTTATGTCATTGATTAAAAATGGAATTTTCTCACCTTTCCCAAGTCTATTAAACTGAGAATTAAATTCCGTATGTTAAGAGGGGTTATAATGATATCTGACACGGAGAGAAAGGACTCCGCTATGGTGGTGGTGGTAGTGTGCTGTGGAGTTGGTTCTGACTAACAGTGACCCTGCCTGGGGTTTCCAAGGCTGTACATCTTTATGGGAGCAGAAAGCTTCCTCTGTCTTTCGCAGAACAGCTGGTAGTTTCGAACTGCTGATTTTGCGGTTAGCAGCCCGACTCATAACCACTACGCTACCAGAGCTCCTTATAGTGACCCTATCTTGTTGTTAAGTGCTGTCTAGTCGATCCGACCCATAGCGACCCTATATAGGGTTCCCAAGGAGCAGCTGGTGAGCTTGAACCACCGACCTTGCAGTTCAAATGACTTTGCAGTCTGACGCATTAGCCCACAGCGCCACACTAGGACTCTTATAGAACAGAGTAATACAGTTTCCAAGACTGTAAATTTTTACTGTAGCAGACAACCTAATCTTTCTCCCCAGGCTGGTGAGTTTAAATGTCCACTTTGCGGTTAGCAGCCCAATGCCTAACCCACAGCACCAACAGGGCTTCTTAGAATTACCATCTGACCTAGCAGTCTCTTTCCTATGTTTATACATCCCAAAGACTTGAAAGCAAGGACTTAAACAAATACTTGTACAATACTCACTGAACTCATTATACCCAAAAGGTGAAAACAGCCCAAAAGTTCACCAACAGATGAATATGTACAATGAAATAGTAAAGAGAAATGAAGTTCGGATACATCTGTGACAAATCTTGAAACCATACTGAGTGAAATAAACCAGACACAAATGGACAAGATTGTATGGCTCCAGTTACATGCAATATTTAGAACAGGCAAATGCAGAGACAAAAGTTTATGAATGGTGAGAGGGGAAATGGAGAATTGTTGCTTAGAGGACACTGAGTTTCTGTTAAAAGACATGAAAAAGATTGGAAAGACAGTACTGATGACTGTACAACTTTATGAAGGTGATTAATGTTACTGAACTCTACACGTAAAAATGACTGAAATGACAAATGCTTTGTTATATGATGTTTTGTCTATTACCGTAAAGTGAAATATTTTATTGAAAATGACAATATAAAACTCCTTCCCTTTCTAGATTATTGATTTCAAAAGCTTCAGTAGCAATTCAATTTTGTACAGCATGAAAGTGTAAGTTATTGTCTGAAATTCTAATTCAATATTATAGTTTTTAGTGGCACTTTGATAGAAGACAGTTCACCGATTTCCCAAGCTTTTTTCAGGCAAAAGACTTTTCCACATCAGACCACAACATCTTGGATATCCAGGGAGCTCAGACAATCACTAGGCGGGAAAAGAATAAATACAGACCAAATTCGCACAATCTGTTTCTGTTTAGTTTATAAACTGAGATCCAGTGTGTCAGCTTTCGTGCCTTGTGGGACTTGAAGTTCAGAAGGAAGAGGTGCTGAGTGCTGTTGAGGTAGGGAAGCCGTCAGCCCCTGTATGTTTGAGCAGTAAGGACTACAACTCCCTACTAACATCGCGAAGCCGCGCTGTGTTGACGGACAACCAACCATGCCTAAGCAGAGCAAGCCCCACCCCTGAGCTTGGAGGACAGCCTCTACCAATGGCAGAGCTCCCAGCGCAGAGCCTGCGGGTTAGGTTGTGAGGCCAAGCTGGGGGCGGGGAGGAGCCCGGGGGTTCAGAACAAGCTCGGCAGCTGGGTGGGTCCGGGCGTTCGGCGCGCCCTTCATTGAAGCGGCGGTGGCCGGGCTGGGCGCCGGGAGTGGGAAGCGACGGCGCGGCTGGAAAATGCCGGTGCATTCCCGAGGGGATAAGAAGGAGACGAATCATCATGATGAGATGGAGGTGGACTACGCTGAAAATGAAGGGAGCAGCTCCGAGGACGAGGACACGGAGAGCTCTTCGGTTTCCGAGGATGGCGATAGCTCAGGTGTGCGACCCAGCGGGGCTGGGACCCTGAGTCCCCGCTCCGGGCGCGCGACAGGCCGCTCTCCGCACGCGGGGCAGCTGAATCCTGCTGGGAGAGCAGGGCGGGGAGAGAAGGAAGGGGCGGAGATTGGCTCCCGGCCCTCGGCTGCACCCGGACCGGTGTCGCGGGTAGCTCCCTGGCCCCAGGCGTGTCCCCCTGGCAGGGCGGAGCGCGGGCCTGGACTAGCCCAGTCCCGGGACGCGTCTCTGTGCTGCTGACGCTGGGACCCGCCCTGGGGACCTCCGGGCCCTGTCCTGGGCTGTGGGAGAGGCGGGGCACACTCCGCAGCTTGTCTGCTCGACCCAGGAAATGCCTTCTCTTCGCAGACCTCCGACCTCTTTCCTTTTTCACCTTTGCAAAGCTTACTTCTCAACGTGGGTGGGTTGTTGGGGTCGAGAGTAGATTTGTACTGGCCCTTAGCTGGTTTAGAATTTATTAATCTCAGCTTCCGAGTCAGCCAATCAACATTTGACATTAGTTCTCTTCCTGAGGCTAACTTGGGAGCTGTCCAGTTTACAGCATCTCCCTGAACTTTTCAGAGGGAGGGACTAATTTTGTCGTGAATTTTGGATGATCAGGAGATTCTCCTTAAATTTATGAATTGGCAGATTTTTTTTGCAGCTTTCAGCTTCTCCAAATATAACCTTTCCACCCCCGTTTCTAATTTTTTTTTTGCTGGTGGGTAGGGCGGGTGGGAGGGGATAAATACTATCGATCAATTTTGCAAACTTTCAGGAATGGTTATTCAGAAAGGAAATGGGATTTGTGATTACCTAAATTCTTTCCCTTCTTGCCATATAATGGGGGTTGGGCTCATTTCTTTGTTTTGGCCTGATTTTGGTCATGTAAGGCAGGGTTACTAACATCACCCTTATATGCCCCCTTTTCAGGTTTCCCTTTCAAAGCAAATCTCTGTGGAATAATGTAATTTTAATCAATAAAGCAATCGTCCAAGAATAAATATTTGTGAATATTTATGAGTGACTTCTTTGTGTAGCACTGGGCACTACCCAGTGTGAGGTATATAAATAGTTGTTTTCTGGTCTTGAATACAATGAAAAAGCTGTCATATGTCACCACTTGAGTAAATTATTAAATGAATGCTTAACTATAAATGATTCTATGGAAATTCAGAGATAGGAAATCTTCAGAATAGGACAGTCAGCACAAACACCTTGAAGAAGATGGGATTACTTTTATCTTGAAGATGTGTAGGATTTGACTTGTGGTGGTCATGGTGTTGCTGAAGAGGGAAGGGTATAAGGAAAAGTGCAAAGGCTAAAGTTTAAGGTTTATTTACGAGTGAGGAAACCAGTTTGGTTGGGAGAAAGATTTGAGCTTTGAAGTGAAAAGAAAGGTATGTTATTAGGTTCTGACTCATAGTGACCCTATGCACAACAGAATGAAACACTGCCTGATGCTGTGCCGTCCTGACAATCATTGTTAAGCTTGAGCCCATTGCTGCTGCCACTGTGCCAATCCATCTTGTTGGGGGTCTTCCTCTTTTTTCCTGATCCTCCACTTTACCAAGCATGATGTCCTTCTCTAGTGACTGCTTCCTCCTGATAATGGTCTGAACTATGAGAGACAAAGTCTTGCCATCCTTGCTTCTAAGGAGCATTCTCGCTGTGCTTCTAACACAGATTTGTTTGTTCTAGCAGTTTATGGTTCTTTTCATATTCTTCAACAACACTGTAACTCAAATTCATCAAATTTTTCAAACATCTTCCATATTTGTTGTCCAATTTTCACATGCATATGAGGCTATTGAAAATATGCCTGCCACTTTGTTGTTCTGTGGTGGCTTGTGTGTTGCTGAAAGCTATGCCATTGGTATTTTAAATACCAGCAGGGGCACCTATGGTGGGCAGGTTTCAGCTAAACTTCTAGGAGAAGCGGACTATTTCTGAATGCTTAGCCACTGAGAACCTTATGAAAAAGAAAGGTGTAGGTATGTAAAATTCCAAAGAAAGCATAAAACAGAGTCAATGAATACAAGTTTAGTAGTGTGGGTAAAAGAGAAACTGATGTAGAATAGAAAAGTAAAAGATTTGCTATAAAGATGGGAGCTAAGGTGTGGTGCTGTAGGTTAATGTGCCGGACTGCAAAGCCGTTTGAACTGCAAGATCAGCAGTTCAAGCTCACCAGCTGCTCCTTGGAAACCCTATACAGGGTCGATATGGGTTGGAACCCACTCGATGGCACTTAACAACAACAACAACATAGAAAAAAAAGATCACATGTTTTTCCTTAAATCTTGAGGAAATCTAGAGTCTAAGTGAGTACATTTCGTAGACCTGTAACACATTTTATCTTTAAGTATGTTTTATTTTTTTGATGGCTGTTAAGACTTCACAAAATTATGTTTAAGATTCTACCCCCTACAGTTTTTGTGATTTTTGACTGCTTTTTTTTTTTTTAATGTTTTATTGTGAATTATGTAAGAGTTTACATGGGAACATTAGCTTTACATTCATCCTACCTTATATCATTTCATTGCCATGGTTACAATTCCCTCCATGCATCATCAACCAACCAAAGGATTTGACTGCTTTTTTAAATCACATTTCAGAACATAATGGACAACTTATTTTGTGACTACCATGGTAATTTTACCTAAAATAAAAAAAAAAAAATTTAAGTGTAAAGAAATTATTTGAATATTGTTTATGTTGTTTGTGAAGCATCTTTATTTTACTATATAACTTGCATGGCAAATGTCCACTGTTTTTTTCTTTTCCAACCTCAATATTGAGCAGATCCTAAGACTACAGAAAAACCCTTATTATCCAGAGAGCTTGAAGAGTGAGTCATTCTGAGGGACCAACTTTTAAATAGCTAAGGAAATAAACCAGAATTACAATTTTAATATGTTTTAGAAAAGTTAAAAAAATGAATCATACACTTCCTCCTGTATGAAAATAACAACACAATTAACTCCCATAGTTTGATCTTTATTTGATGAAGCTCAAGATACCATCTTGTGCTTCAGTTATTTTAATGTGTAGAAATGTGTGAAGTAGAAATAGAAGATGTAGAGCATAGGAGAAACCTGATAGTAAGCAGTTTTCTTCTTTAAAATATTTCCTTGTTTTTCTCATTTGCCTCCTTTTCACTGATTTACAGCAATTTAGGGAGAGAGAAGAATGGAAGAATGAGTTGAAGACCAAGCTATCCTTTGATAAACATAGTGAGATTAGTTTTGTTTTAAATGTAATTGACATGGCAAACCTGCCAGGAGAGCAGCTTAGAAATACGAATTCCAAAAGTGTTTTTGAGCAGTGCTGTGGTAGTATGGGTTAATGCGCTGGACTGCAATGTCAGTTTGAACCACAAGGTTGGCAGTTCAAGCTCACCAGCCTCTCCTCAGAATGCCTATACAGGGTCACTATGAATAAGAACTAAGTGGACAGCACTTAACATTAACAACCTTTAAAAGAGTTCTGGTGTGGCGCTGTAGGTTTAAACTGCAAGGTTGGTGATTTAAACTCATCAATTGCTCCTTAGAAACCCTATACAGAATTGCTATGAATTGGCAGTAACTCAAAGGCACTTAACAACAACCTTTAAAGGATGTAATCATTTTGATGCTTAAGTTCATCTGATTAGTGGAAAAGAAACCAAAAGTGTGCAAATTGTCATCAGAGCTTGCAACTGTTCTTTAAAATGATTTGAAAGTGAATAAAAATAAGTAGGTCTAGTTGTACACACATACAGGGGACTACTACTCAGTCATAAAGAGAAATGTGATTAGTCTTGATACATACTCAAACACTGATGAAGCTTGAAAACAACGCTGAGTGAAATAAGTCAGCTACACAAGAAGAAAGATTGTATGATCTCACTTACGAAATAATAAGCATAGGTAAATGTATAGAAACGAAGCTTAGTAGTTCCAAGGGGAAGTCAGAAGGAGAAAGAGAGCCATGATTTCAGAAGCAGTGAGTATCTGTTTATGGAAATTCAGTAACAAGTATGGGGACACAACATAATTAATATAATTGATATCACTGAACTGTATACCTGAAAGTGCTGAATTGGCAAATGTTATATACTTTGTCATTTTGATTCTCATCTGTTTTAGGAAAATCTATAATGGAAATTGAAATCCTGGTGTGGCACTGTAGGATAAGCACATGACTGCTAAATACAAGATAGGCAGTTCAAACCTACCAACCACTCCTTGGAAACCGTATACAGGGTTGCTATGAGTCGGAAATGACTCAACGACACTTAGCAACATCAGCAACTTAATGGAATTTATTTTGGATAAATATTTGCCTGTTTTATCTTAAAGCTTGATATTGTTGTTAAGTGCTGTTGAGTGGGCCCCAACTCATAGTAACTCTGTATAGGGTTTCTGAGAACTGCTGCTGAGTTTGAACTGCCAACCTTGTGGTTCAAATCGACCTTATGGTTGAGAAAGTTTGATATAGCCCTTGATATATCCAACTTCATGTTGTAGTTTTTTTCTATTACCTGCATTAAAATTCTGATATGTTTGAAACCATAAAATTAATTTTGCCTTTAATATTTGCTTTGTTATTAACAGAAATGGATGATGAAGATTGTGAAAGAAGAAGAATGGAATGTTTAGATGAAATGTCCAATCTTGAAAAACAGTTTACCGATCTCAAAGATCAGTAAGTAGTGACTTCAGAAGGTCATTGTCACGGAATCTCAACTATGTCACGTGTATGCTAACACAAGAGCAGTTACATTCAGTCTAAACTGTTTTCCCTTTTGTGTTCTATGGGACTGATCTGAAAGGGACTTCAATAATTGTTTATGTGTTGAAGATCTCATTAACTACGCTGAAGGTTTTGAAGTAGCCTTTTTTTGGAGAGGGGTGATATAATAAGATTTCTATGTGGGTATTGGTGGTTAAGGAGTTCTGGTAGCATAGTGGTTATGAATCGGGCTGTGAACCTTAAGATCAGTAGTTTGAAACTACCAGCTGTTCTGTGGGAGAAAGATGAGGCTTTCTGCTTCTGTAAAGATTTACAGCCTTGTCTTTTGAATCTTGATTTTCCTTGCATTATATTATAAAATAGACACTGGAAGGGAAGAGAAAGGAGTAGCCAGAAACATCACCATAGAAAGCTTGTAAATCCGCCTTCTGCTTGTAACTGATTGGAATACCTAAAATGGGCTACAATGTGCCCAGTGAAGAAGGCATCCTGCAGAGCTTCTGCATTACATAAGACTATAGGTGGAAGCCTGAACCACATCCAGATCTTCAGAGATGGGAAATTTCCATGTGAAAGGACGAGCAGACCAGCCTGGAGCGGCTAGAAGAACAGAAGATACTTCTTGAAAAAAAGACCTACATGAAAAATACAAAACGATATAAGCAGACTGACTGTTACTACAAGAACAAGCAAGTTGCTTGCCCAGGAGACATCAAGGCAAGTGGTTGGGTCCCCTTGGTGTAAACCCCCTTCCAAGCCTAAGACTCAATGGGAATACACACTCTGATTGGTGACCACGCTCGTCACCGATAAGGGGAAGTGAGGGAAAAACAGCAATGAAGCTGCAAGCTAAACCCTACAATGTTCAATAGACTCCTGTGAACCTGGGTGGAGACCTGGTTGGCCAGCAGTTCGGCAAGACCTGGGGACTCTTGGGCCCAGAGTCAGTGACATAGCCACAGAGGACTAGAGTGGAGAGTG